GAGTGGACGTCTACCGGATGTCCCTCCAGACAAAGCCGCAGCGGCTGTGAGGGCCGAGGCTCAGGCAGCCGTGGGCCGCTGTGAAGGGCTGAGTCTGAGGCCGGCAGTGGCTGAGGCCGGCAGTGGCTGAGGCCGGCAGTGGCAGCAGCAACAGCAGCACAGTAATGGGGGCGGTGCCTCCCCCGATCCACCAGGTCGCCTCCTGCAGAGGGAAGCCAGGCTGGGGGGCCAAGGCAGAGGCAGTTAGGGGCGATCAGACCAGCAGGGGGGCAAGTTAGGGGTGATCAGGCTGGCAGGGGATCAAGGTAAGGGCGATCAGGCCAGCAGGTAGAGGGGTTAGGGGTGATCAGGCAGGCAGGCAGGCGAGTGGTTAGGAGCCAGCGGTCCTGGATTGGGAGAAGGATGTCCCAGATTGGAGAGGGTGCAAGCCAGGCTGAGGAACTCCCCTCCGTGCACAAATTTCATGCACCGGGCCTCTAGTATTAGAATAGAAAACTATAGACTTGAGGAATGTTATTAGTATTATTTCTGGATTTTAGTTGGACTGTCAAGATTAAAAATGATAAACAATCTCTTCAGAGTCAGTTATCTTTTCCTTGAATTAGTTTCTGAAGTTCTTTCCAATCTGGCTTTTCTTTAGCCCTCTAGCCTCCTGTTTAGAAATTTCATTGAATTTTTTTTCTTCTCTCACTTTTCTGGAGATCTTTATGTACTCCTTTCCTATATTCACCCCTTTTTCACACCCCATAGCTTATTCCCCCCCACACTCCCCCCCCAATCTATTCTTTCTCCCTGATGTTGCTTTATTTACTATTCTTTCAACATGTCTTTTCTCTTGAGGAGCTTACAGTGCACTGTAGTATCCTTATTCTTAATGCCTCCACCAAACTCCAAAGAATGTAAATTTAAATTTCCAAATAAATTCTTACTAAGCTAGCACTTTATAAATACTTAGAAGCACCATTTTTATCCATTAAATTTTAAAATGACAAATCTGGCTCTCTATCTGTGGTATCACCCTTCTGCCCAGATTTTCAAAATCACTTTTGGGACCCAGGGGAAATACATAGTTGATGAATTGTTTCATTTAAGCTATTGAGGTATCATCTAAGAACCAGTGTTTCTGTGTAATGTCTATAGAATCTAGTGGTCTTTAGTTGAGCTCAGTTCTAACCATTATGGTGTCACTCAAATATAATTTACTTATTTTGGATCCCCAAACTTGTAAGTTTTTCAAGGATCTTAGTAGATCTGGTTTCTGAATCAGAGTTTCCATTTTTATTATAGAATCCTCAAAACTTTGGCTATGTTATGATTAACTTAGTAGGTGTTTGGGCTTAGTTTATTAAAATTCACCTAGTTATTTCATAATGTAATTGATATTCCTAAAGATGTAAATCTAAAAGATCTGTTTTTATTTCTTTTGCAATTTAGGTGCTTCCACATCTATTGTTGGCATTCTTCTTTCACTTAAAAATTTTAATCTTATTTTGATAGTCTTTTAAAAATTGACTTCAATTTGATTATCTTCCATTTTAAGTATCTTATGAGAAGTAACTTAATAAGAACGTCCTATGCTAGCTCTTTATAATTAAAGCATAAAGAAATTTTATGAAGAATTTGGTAAAGTTCTAAGATTAATCTGAACATTTTAATTTATTTTTATCTTTAATATGTAAGAAAATATCCTTTGTGACATTGGTTGATCATTTTGTAAAATACTTAACACTAGTTGGGCTATGGGAATGCACACAGAGTATGGTCCCTTCTACGTAGCCTTTTGCTTGTGAGTCTATCCTTATGCAGGGGTGAGCAAAAGTAAGTTTGCAGTTGTAATACAAATAAATAATACAATAAATAATAAAACAAGAATAAACCATTTCTCATACTCACAGCTATAAATGTACTTTTGCCAAGCCCTGTTTTTCTGAAGTGTGTAGGTATAGATGTGCATGCATGGCGTTTTTATGCTCCCATCACAGTGTAATTCATTCACATTAACAAAAGCCCGATTTGGAGGTGTGGAGAGGGAACAAAGGAGACCAGTGCCTTGTAGAGCTCCTATGGAGTATGTGGTCTGGTATCATTAGTGGGCTGAAAGGTAACTGAACATTTCCATTTTGGTGTCAGTCCCTTGGGAAGGAAAAAGGTTTTATAATGGAGTGTGATCTGCACTCTTCCTAAGAGTGATTGACACTGAATGATTAAGTAGAATAGGAGAATGAATACCACTCCTCCCCTTTAAAGGCGAAGCATATATACACTAAATGTAAATCTTTTCCGTGTGGAAGGCAGTCTGGCTTAGGGATAGGGTATATCTGAAGAGCTGGGGGGTGGGGGAGTGCATTAACCAGGCAGGTCAAAATGCAAGGAAACCAGAGTTATATAGTATTCTTCAAAATAACTTTTAAACCCCAAACATAATGGTAAATGCACATATAGAATATGATGGAAGACCCCATTTGTGAAAGTGGGATCTTGACATCAGGCCCTTGGTAAATGAGTGGGCAAATGGTTCTCTAAATTGGATAGCACAGTGCATCCCACAGTGACTGATGAGATGGATGTGTCTGCAGGAGAGCCTGCTGTCACGGAAGCCTTTAACCTATTTTCTCTTTCTTCGAAAATGAGCTCCTAACTGGATGTTATCCTCAAGAAAGTGAATTTAATTCAAAAGGAGATATTTTATAGATGGGCAAATTTAATTTAAAGATCCACTTATCAATTATAGAATATGGGAAAACATTATTATAAGTAATATGATTATATTTCTGAAAGATGCCATTTTTTAGTGTGTTATTTTGGGGACCTGAATTTCAAGCATTAGTAATTTTTATTCTTTAAATTTGCACTATCTTTTTAAACACATGGCTGAAACAATAGTGAATCTTTATTGTAGTATTAATTACGAAGTTTTATTTATTATATGAAGGTACATAATTACACAATAAATAATATAACCAGAAAAAGTACTTTATTGGTTTTCCCGTTAATTTTTGAAAATGTGATGTATTTTTCCCCTAGATAAATACTTATTAATATTGCAAATAATAAAAGCCCATCTTGTGAATTCATTATTCTCACATCTATAAGAAAATAAGGTAGTATTGGTGAGAAGCAAGCCGTAGTTATCCTAGTTTTTGCTAAGTAAAAATCACTCTTTATAACTTATCCCAGAAAATAAAATACTAAGTATTCTACATATATTGCTCAGTAGATTAGTAGTAGCTTAGTAATTTGTCTTGGAAATATATAGTAATATAACTTATTGAGCTTGCTATTCTCACACACACAAATCTAATTACAATTAATTTTTTTTGTCAATAGTCTTAAGCTGACTCTCATAGTTACCACTTATTTTGCCATTTTTAAAAAACTTTGTGATCTGTTTGTGCTTCCTAATGAGAATTATGGAGACATAAATATATTTTGAAATAAAAAGTCCTTAAGACACTTCATTTGGAGACAAATTAATAAGCAAATTCTATACTCAACAAGTAGATTAAAATCTTTGTAATTATGAAATTTTATTTTCTCCACTTTATGCTGTTTTGTTGTTTTTAATATAAAAATTTAAAAGAAAGTCTGACTGGAATTAAGCAAATATATCTTCCAAATAATTTACTTGCTCAGTTTTTAGACGCTAAGTCAAATTTTCAAACATCTAATATAAAGTTATGCACCCAATGTGTATTTAAACACTAATTAAGAATGGATTTATGTTTATTTCAATTTAGAAGAATTACTCTAGAGGAAAACTAATTTCTTACAGTAGAAAATAAGGTAAATTCTTTCCATCACTGACCTATCATCAACCTTTTAAAATCCAATCTAAGTAGTCAGCTTTCTTTTACAGCATTCTGATCAGACACTTACTGTATTACTCTAAAATTATTTGGTAATTTTCCAGATATCATTCACCATAGACATCTGATTTCCCTACATATCAGATTTCCCTGCATTGCTTAATTTGGACAAAGGAAAAAAATTCTTCCAGTCAACTGGTTTCCATCGTCAAAATAATTAATACCCAAAGAAAGGTTGTACAGTGGTCGGCAAACTGTGGCTCGGCAAACCGTGGCTTGGCAAACCGCGGCTCGCGAGCCACATGCAGCTCTTTGGCCCCTTGAGTGTGGCTCTTCCACAAAATACCGACTTCTGCTCATGGGCCACGAAGTTTCAATCGCACGGTGCGGGTGCGCCCGCACGTGGTATTTTGTGGATGAGCCACACTCAAGGGGCCAAAGAGCCGCATATGGCTCGCGAGCCGCGGTTTGCCAACCACGGGAAGCTGATAAAATAGAATTTGCTGTATAATTTTCCCAATTGCTGAGTAAGTACATTGCCAGTGCATATTATGTCAACAGCTGTATTTTTTAACTCTCTTTGTTTTAATTTACCTTTATTCCCCCCCCCCCCCCATTGACCCCTTCCAGCCTGCCCCTTCCCAGGCCTTCTCCACCCATTGTCTGTGTCCATGGGTTATGCATATATGCATACAAGTTCTTTGGTTGATCTCTTCCCACCCCAACCCACCCCCGCCTTCCCTCTGAGATTCATCAGTCTGTTCCATGTTTCTATGTCTCTGGATCTATTTTGTTCATCAGTTTATTTTGTTTTATCCTTCGAAAGCTAGCTGTTTGCTCTTGTGTTGAGCATTGGCTGCCCTCTAGTGGTTAACCTGTGTTTTTTAAAATAACCCGTCAGATCTTGAAAAGGAGTAATTTCTGTATGGAAGTGATTACATAGCCTTTCGTGTTTTACATTGACTGGTGTGTCAAGTACAACTGGCTTCATAACCTTGCCGGAGCGTTTGGGTGATGATGGCCTTTGAAACACATGGTCTGGTAAATGGCATCACATACGTACTAAAGAAGGCACATGAAAATGAGCGAATCTCATGGACAGCTTGTGCGTGTGGGTATCTTTTTACATACATGAATAACATCTGATGACACCTACTCCCTGCTTCTAAGATGTTTTCATTATTCTTGTTGCAGATGCTACAACTGTGGTGGCCTTGATCATCATGCTAAGGAATGTAGTCTACCTCCTCAGCCAAAGAAGTGCCATTACTGTCAGAGCATCACACACATGGTGGCCAACTGCCCGCATAAAACTGTTGTGCAGCCGCCGGTCAGTTCTCAGGGAAGACAGGAAGCGGATTCACAGCCATGCACTGCGGCTTTCCCACGGGAGGTGGGGGGAGGGCACGGCTGTACATCACCCCCATTTCCTCAGGAGGCGAGGTCCGAGATCGCAGAGTGGCCAGGCCGGTCCCCTCAGGAAGCTTCCTCCTCGAAGTCATCGGCAGCCCCCGAAGAACAAAGCAAAAAGGGGCCTTCTGTCCAAAAAAGGAAAAAGACATAACCCTTCTTCTTAATGTATCGTTTTCTCTCCCCGGTTGGGAAGTCTACCTCATGCAAGGATAGGGGAACAGTATTTCACAAACAGCAGCTGACCTGGGATTTTTAACTACTGTTGAGGAACTGTGAATTTTTTTAAACAGACAAATCACTCTAAGCAAATTACATTGGAGCAGGGTGTCGTGTTTGATGTAATTCAGAGAATGAGATTCTATGTATTACCTATATGTGCATGTGTGAGAGGGAGAGAGCCTGAGCCTGTGTGTGTAGGAGGATTTATATAGCAATGGAGACATATATATATAAAGAGCGTTTGTCTTTATATATGTGTGCATAGAGCTACAAGCACACACACTCCCTCACAGAATTTAACACCCCCAAGAATTGAAAACTCGTGGGAAGCATTTTATTTAGATGGTTTCAAAAATAACCTCTGGAGTTTTTCTTGAAATACCATTCCCTTTACCTTACATACAAATAAAAACATGATTGTTACTTTTGTGTGAACCAAAGGATACTTCAGATCTCAGAGCTGCCAATCACATGGTACTAAAGGTTTTTAAATCGTCAGTTTCCCCCAAGTTTGGGATTGCCTTTTTTCTTGATATCCATAGAGTGCTCCCACCCCTTTTGAAGGCAGTACCTTAACTCCACATGCCTCTGACTGCCATAAGCTTTTTGAATCTGGGATACGTATTTCCAGAAAAGACAATGAATGTGTAATTTCTGTGCCGATATTTCAATGTTTTTAATTCATATATTTTGATTGTAAATTAGATACATATTAAGAGAAAGGAAGGGGGAGGGCAATGTAAAAATGTAGTGACTTGATTGTTTTCAGTGGTATTTTGATACCAGCTCATAATCTTTCACGTGCTGCGAGGTTTTGTAAGGGGTTGTGGCAACAGCAGCTTCCCTTGACTAAGTCAGTCCTTTTGACCATCACTTCGAGCAGGGGCCCTCCCTGTTTACTACTGAAGACCTTGGAGAAAAACTCCAATAGTTTGGTATATATTTTGGTGGCGATTTTTATTCCCCCTGAAGAGTTACCTAACTTGTTTTTAAAACAAACAAAACAGCAGAGATATGAATAGAATGCCAGGGTTGAGAGTAGATATTATTGATGCTCACAATTGCCCAATATGTATAACCTTGAATATATTAAAAAGTGCAGTGTTTGGTGGCAGGCAACTAGAGTGACGAGCTGGGCCAGAGGTACCAGAACCTCTCCTTGCAGCGAGCTAGAAGGATTTTATACAATAAGATCGATCTAGGGAGTTCCCTCTGTTACCATGCTGAGGGGACCTACATGGTGGATTCAGGATGAACACGCAATGTTGGCGATAGGCTTCGCAGCTTGGTCCTCGGTTATTTTAATAAATTGGCTGGGGAACAATCATAGTATTGGTCCCTTGTGGGTTTCAGTCACTTTGGTGTCATCCTGGTTAGAGGTGTTATGGGTACTTTACTGAAACATCTCCAAGAAGGTACCAATTATAACGCTTAACATTGGCAATAAATATAGTTTTGTATGATGAGCCTGTTGGTGTAAGCTCAGATAATCAGAAAGAAGGAAGGAAGGAAGGAAGGAAGGAAGGAAGGAAGGAAGGAAGGAAGGAAGGAAGGAAGGAAGGAAGGAAAAGGTATAGTTCAGATATGATGTATTCTACCTACCAATGTCTGCTCCCTCTCCCACCTGTCCTTCCACGTAGACCTGGGTAGTTGCTGCTGTGTCAGCCAGCTGGGCATAAGGAGAAATGCCCAGGGTTGGGCCGCCAGTCCTCCACAACTCAGCCTGAACTCCACGTCAGTGTTTGTGAGAATCTCCACAGTATGTTCTGAAATATCAGTGTGCTGTGATGCAACGCTTACCTTTGACGATATTGAATGTGATATAGCTGTAGAGAAGTCCGTCCTTGCCTTACGTGAGGATTGTAAGCGTATTTAAATTATGTAGACAAATCAAAGTGGCATTGCTTAATTTTTAGCAGGTATAATAAGCAGGTGAACAGTAAAAATGCAAACCATAACAAGTCACTTTGAAAATCCAAACCAAAGTTTCTTGACCTTAGAGAACTACGGACTTAGAGAAGTTATGGACTTGAGAATTGGGCATTCCCTGTTTCCATATTAAAAAGTGCAGAGCTGAGATCATGTTTTTTTTGTTTTTTTTTAAAGAGTATAACTGTGGACCTATGGGTGCAATTTGAAATCATTTTAAGCATTTTACAAGACTGAACTAAGAGCACATACCAAACCTATCTTATGATTAAAAGTTGGTTTTATTTTTTATATAAGAATATTATCACTATTTCATAACATACTCAGGACAAAGAACTTTGCTCAGGGAACATACCATATATGATGATGTTGTTGTTGTTTCTTTACAGAATAGTCTACAGTCCTGCTTACTCAAAACAAACCAAATAACTTTGACCTTTATATAAGTATTATATACTGATGTTAGTAATGACTACCTCTGTTTGATGTAGATCAAAATTTCTGAATTTAAGATATCAGTTCTCCTATTTCTATTTCATGTGAAAAGTACTGGACAGTAGAATTCCTGAACTCCTTGTATATGTGAATATCACAGATGTGAGCACAGTATCCATTTTCATGGGTGAAATATAACTCTGTTTACAACAAAAGGCTACCTCATCGTTGATGCATAGCACACCTTTATGCTGCTCCAGCCTTCCGGTGGCTGATCGCCGTCTGGTACAGAGCCTCTCTATAGTATAGATAGCAATTCACCAACTGCATGTTTCTGACAAACACTTGTGAATAATGAAGCATCAAGCATCTCACTTACTTAGCAAAGTCTCCAAGCATTTCCTTGAACCGATCATGTACGTAGATGAAAGAATTATGGTCACTCTTCCCTTTAAGCAACGCAGCACACAGAAGCAATCTTGGAAACAGCTGCTTTGCCTAGAGGTTGAGGCAGGAAGGGGTGGCAGGAGGAGAGGCTGGTGTCTGAGTGCATTCATGCTGGGCAAACAGCATAAAAGATGCCAATCTCCTGCATTTGTGTCTGTGCTGCCCTGAGGCCAAGCATGTTGCAGCATTATTGCCCTAGGCACACAGCTAACTAGTGCCAAGGAGTGGACATAGAGTGATGTGCAATGCCATTTCCAGCTACTGAGGGGTCGAGCTGTGTGAAGCATCCATTTACAGGGGTTGGGCAGGGGGTCTGTGAGTTAGTTGCTCCTTGACCTCACCCCCATGTCAACACAAATGTAATTCCTAAGAAAGATGCTCTAGCAGTCTCAGCCCTGTGAGCTATTCATTTGCTACATGGCTGATTACAGTGGAAACATTTTTATACTTGCATTTCTAGTCTTTACTAGAGGACTTTGGATGTATTTTTACAATGGAAAGATGTAGAAAGATTTTTACCTGCTTATAACTTGCAAGTTTGGCGTGCAATGTAAGGAAAAAGATCAGTAAACATCATGTTATTAGCATCAATCCACCTACAAAAACAGGATGTTTTTATTGCCGATTTTTTTTCAATAGTCTGGCCCAGTTTTGTTTTGCACCAATGTGGCCCCAAGTTAATGCTAGTTGTATTTAGTTTGTGAATAGAAGCCCATAAGTGTTAATAGACTTTGTAACATTCACTGTAAGATGAATTATACAGGACATGGGAAATCTCACTAAGTCTTAAAGTTAATTTAAATTAATTTATCTGTTTTCTCTAAGAAATGTTTATCATAAAATATATATGTGTGTTTCCCCTTTGGTTATAAAATTTGGGAAAGTATGTACAAGTGCAGCTGCCTTGATGTTAACTTCCTAGATTTATTTGTTTTAGAGAAGAACAACTTGTTAAAAGCATCTAATTCTGTCTTACATAGCTGTCATCAGCCTCTTTAAGATGTGGTGGTTATGTGATCTGTGTCATAGCTCAGTTAGAGTGAGAAGTTGACCAATGAGTTGTTTTTAAATTTTATGTATGGAACAAAGCTGCAAAGTTATGGCAAAGTACTGTACTGTGAGAACCTATTGTGATATGTAATACATCTGTGGCTTAACACTGAGAGAGTTACCAGCTTAAACATGACGGTGTTGACTACCTCTCGAATTACTTACATCTACCAACCACTGGCACCCACCACCAAGCTGGCTTTAGTTATATGTATTGGGTTTCTTGTGTTTTTATTTTTTTTTATTTTGGTATTAACCACCCTAACCATACTAGAGACCAAAGTGAACACTGATTTCTATATCTCTTTACTAGGGTGTTTTATCTAGTGTTTTTAAATTATCCTGTGTAGTCTTTAGATTGCCTCGTTGTCCATTTTGACTCATGTTTACAAGTGAAACTAAACAAGACACTTGAACTGTATGTTTTTAAAGGACAAAAAAGGAGCTGTTTCGCATGGCCTTCACTCGTGTACAGTCATTCTGATGGGCTAACATACTGCTTGCCTTTCTGCAGACCGTGGGTTTTATATCTCATTTCATGCCTAATGTCTTATTCTGTCAACTATGGATATTTTGAGGTCTAAAAAAATTACTTGATTAAAAATAAAAATATAATGTTGGCATTTATGATGAGTTTTGGAGATTTTTAATTATTTGTATGATTGGTCAGTTAAATGAATGCATAAAAGGCCATTTACACATATATTAAATAGTTTTAACATCTTCTGATACAGGTGATTTAAATATGGGCCACACTATGTCAATACAGATGTCGAGTAAATTCAGTCTGAATGAATGAATGAATGAATGAATGAACGAAGAAGGAAAAGTAGGTTCTATCAGCATCAGGAATTTTCCAGGATTCGCCGGCAATGATTGTGTGTGAGCTTCTAAATCAGATTACACACTGCATGTGCTCAGGAAATGTCCCCTGAAACAAAAGTGTTCAAGCCCTTTTGGAGAAACCATTTTATAATTCTTTCTAATTAATGGAAAAGTAGTTGAAACGAGTCCTGCCTGGTGTGGTTCAGTGATTAGAGCATCCACCCTTGCACCAAAGGAACACAGGTTCAATTCCCAGTCAAGGGCACGTACCTGGGATGCAGGTTCCATCCTGAGCCTCAGTTGGGGTGTGCATGGGAGGCAACCAATGTATGTTTCTCTCCTCCCTCGCTCCCTACCTTCCACTCTCTCTAAACATCAATAGGAAAAATGTCTTCGGGTGAGGATTTAAAAATAAAAGCTTCTGAAAAGAACAATCAAGCCAGAATACTCCAGTACCAAATATCTAATATGTGAATGTAGATTTGTCACACCATGTATGTGGTGCTGATATGCTGCTGAAACAATTTGATGAAACTTATTGAGTTCTATAAGTTGGCCAGTCCCACAATTAAACTCATTTTCATTTCAGCTCTATACCTGGATGATTGTGTGGTCGTGGGGGGGGGGGGGGGGGTACTATGATCCCTACTTCTGTTGTTGTTGTTAATTGTGGTAAAAACAAACAAACAACAACACATAATTTACCATCCTACCCATTTTTTAAGCACACCAGTACATTCACATTGTTGTGCGACATTGAATGATTCACTTGTAGGATTTGAAGGTCTCTACCCTGAATGCTCATGAGGGCATGATTACATAAACATTTCAGCTGTGTTTATTTTCTTTGACGACTATTATTTGAAAGAGCAGCTTTTTGTTATAAATAACATTGTACTTTACTGTGGAGAATAGGGAGAAGCTTAATAAATAAAATTCATACATAACCCCACCACTCAGAAATATTTTTACATTAATTTCAAATATAGAAACATTTTTAAAAAGTACTTAATCCCATCACATAGAAATAGCCATTAACCTTTGTTGGTTAAATAAATTAGACATTTAAAAAATAAAATTTGCTGAAACCGGTTTGGCTCAGTGGATAGAGCGTCGGCCTGCGGACTGAAAGGTCCCAGGTTCGATTCCGGTCAAGGGCATGTACCTGGGTTGCGGGCACATCCCCATTGGGAGATGTGCAGGAGGCGGCTGATTGATGTTTCTCTCTCATGGATGTTTCTGACTATCTCTCTCCCTTTCTCTCTGTGAAAAATCAATAAAATATATATTAAAAAAAATAAAAATAAAAAATAAAATTAGGTTAGACTATATATAGTTTGGAACTTTACACTTTTCCTCCTATATCATATAGTGTTTTGTCATCAATGAAAATTGTTCAAAACAACATTTCTAATAAATGCACAAGCAGTTTGAGGAAGTGAGATTCAGGTGAAGTGAGAAAGATGGGTGAAGAAACAGCATAAACAAAAGGTCAGAGTTGAGCATGAACAGTGCACAATTCAATCAGCACAGACTAACTTGATGAGGCAAAAAAACATTTTGCATAAAAAGCATTTTGAATGCATTGGAGGGCAAGCAGTGCAGCCAGGAACTTGGGGGAAAAGCACAATTGAGGAACACATTTACCCCCAGCTTTTCCCCTAAGGGCCCTTGCCAGTTCCCTGAGGTGCCACAGGGTGAGAGACAGAGAATGAAGCCCCCACCATCTTCATATATATTCCTTCAAAGTCATTGAATGTTAAGACTCAGCAGAAAGTAGCTGAGAGCAGGGCCAAAACTAGGGTGAGGCAAGAGAGGTGCCTAGGGTGTAAAATGTAAAAGGTGCTGACTTTCAGGGTGGTTCCTTGCTCTATGCACCTTCCTGTCTCATCCCACTCTACCCGCCTGGCTTGGAGGCTAAAGGAGTTAACAGATTTCCTCAGCCATCTAGTGCTGACGGAGATGGAATTAGAAAGAGTTAGATGGACCTTGGTAAACACCTTGTTTTTTGTCTGGATCCCAGAAGACTAAATCTAGGAATAAGTGTGTGCCCTAAGGGTACTGGCCATACACCAGGAAAGGGGCAAAAGTAAAATAGACCAGCCCTAACAAAACCTGAAATTAAAAACAAATCAAAACAAACCCTGAAATTAACCCTGGATGGGACAAGGTGACCAGCTAGTACAATACCTACCTACCAAAATAAATCCGCCCTCCTTGGAGGAAGACAGCATTACCCAAAGCCCCTACAGATTTTTACCTGCAATGTCCACCACCCAAGCCAATGGAAGGAAGCATGCTAATAAACAGCCAATTCACTGGGAACAAAGGAAAACAGGTGACTCAGATACTGCAATAATTGTACAATGATGTTAAAAATAACTATGGCAAACAGAGAAGATATAGAAGTCAGAAACTGTAGAGTCAAAAATTATAATAACTGAAAGTAAGAATTCAGCAGATGGGCTTAACAAGTTAACTGCTGAGAGAACAGGAAAAAAGGAGAGGGCAGAAAAAGCAACAGAAGATTAATAAACAGGAAGGCAGGTCAATAAAAAGTTTCCAGAATTATGGACAGAAAATTTTTAATGGAGCAATGTAGGTGCAACCAAATTGCAGAGGTTAAAAAAAAGAAAAAAAGAAACACAGCCTATACTACTTGTTTGAAATGGGAGTGAAAGGGAGGATACATGTAATCAATGCAGCAATTAAAAAAAGAGTTCAGAATTTTTCAAGATAAAATGAATTGTTTTTTGTTTACTATTTTTTTATTTCATTATGGGGAAAATACATAAAATAACAGAAATAATGTGCTACAATGTAGAAAAGGTATAGGGGTTAACAGTTACATAAATTATTTTAACGTTGCTTCCTTAACGAAGTTACTGCAATGCTAGTATAGTCTTGCTTCCCAACTTGCTAGCTGAAACAACAGCCCCGTTGGACTTCTCCCGAAGGTGGATCTGACAATAAAACAGACAGATAGGCAATCAGACAAGATAGATTTGCTCCTAATACCAGGAACAAACAGCCCTTTGGGCCTATACTAGTGTCTTCTTATGACCTTATTATTTACTTCCTAAGGATACAAAGCATGCATTTGAAGGCAGAGGAAATAGAATCAGTGGAGACAGAGAAGGTTCTGGAAGATAGCCTAAGTAGGAAACGTCCCACTTTCATGAAAGAACATGGGGGAAAGGCCTTCTCACCACTTCTTCTGGGTGCTTTCTTTGTGGCATTAGGGTGGAGCTACTCAGTGTTGGTATTTTAATGGAACTCCTTAGACTGTCACTGGAGAAGAAATTCTGATTTTTTTTAAATGTTTAGAAATACACCAGCATGTTTTGACAGTGAACCCGCATGCTGATGTAGAGAAACAGTTCACCACATTTGTCCTCTCCAAAGAGCTACACTGGGGAAAAGAAGTTATAGTGTTTAAATGACAGGAGAATCTGACAACTACACTATAGGCAGCCCAAGATGCTTTTGTAAGAATTAACGTCTCTTTTTCCTAATAAAGAGCAAATGTAAACCCCATTCGGGATAATAGGAAGCCCCAGAATCCTGTACACAGAGCCCTGCGTTTGCACCAGGCCTCTGTTTGTGCCTCCTGTGTAAGCTTTTCAGAAGAGCCTTATATGAAGCTTTTGCTTGCTAGGCTACTAAATCAAAAAATTGCTCATGTGGCAATTTATCATTTTGTGACAGGCCCTGCCCCTGTTTTCTTGTTATTTTCATGAATATTTTTTTCTTCACACAAACTCTATGAGGTTCTCTTGTCTGCTTTGCTTTCTAGAAACAATTGAAATTTAAAAGAATGGTTTTGCTGTTAAATATAACGTCTGTCAGCCTGAGTTTAGAAATCAGCATATGTTGCCCTTTCAAATTCTCTCCCTCTCCTTCTCTCTCTCTTTCAAACACACACACACACACACACACACACACACACACACACACACACACACACACTTTCTGAAATGGTTTTAGGTTCCCTGGAAAATGGTCAATATTTCTGAGGCTGCCTATGAGGGATGTTACTTAACACGGTTTCCACTTAAAAGTTTCTTGTCTTTAAGACACATGTGTGTACTTTGTTTCTAAAATTAATCAACATTTCTTGAAGACGGGAGCCGTTTTCTGAATGTCAAGGGCCTCAGTGTCTGAGCTGCTTGGCATCGATGGCTATCTGCCTGCTCCAGGTTATACAAATTCTTTAAAGCACAACCCCAACCTTGGGGTCCTTCCTTACACCCCAAATGCCATGGTTTGTTTTGCATTTGTATCAAGAGAACCGGACCCATTCCTAAGTACTCTAGTGGCAACGATGCTGCAAATGCAGAGTGTAAGGAAAGCAAGCCATATTTACATTTGACTTAGTTCCAATGCACGTATTATCGACATGTAGTCCTTTCTTACTGGTCTTCCACATTTTCTTTAGAAGCAGGGCCTCACTGCTGGCATGTCATATATTTCTTTGTCAGGTTTTATTGATCACTTCTTTCATTTAGATCAGTGGTTCTCAACCTTCGTAATGCCGCGATCCTTTAATACAGTTCCTCATGTTGTGGTGACCCCCCAATTTCATTGTTACAAATTGAACATAATTAAAGCATAGTGATTAATCACAAAAACAATATGTAAATATATGTGTTTTCCGATGGTCTTAGGCGACCCCTGTGAAAGGGTCGTTTGACCCCAAAGGGGTCGCGACCCACAGGTTGAGAACCGCTGATTTAGATGGTCAG